CATTTCACACCCATCCATATGCCGTGGCTCTCCTTGTCACCTTAGCAACAGGTCTTAGTCTTTGACCTGAAAGGTTTCTCGACAGGTTACTTTGATATTACGTCATCTGTTCTTGGGGTAAATCTTCAATTTCGGCCTTTTATTTCTGTTTTTGGGATTCCTGAGCCCTCACAAAATTAATCCCATGCAAAATTACATTATATCTTTCACATCCCTACTAGCAAGACATCCCTTACTGTTAAATTGGAACTCTGATAAGTATCCTCTATCTCTTGGTGCCCCAAAGACATAATTATTATTATTATTTTTTTTACTTTTTTAAAAACTTTTAAAAAAAAGGGTTGTTATGAGCTGAGTCAGCATGTGGGTGGGGGGCTGTTCAATGTCTATTAAACTGCAATCTGTAAATGTATGTTGGGGGAGAAAAAGTGGATAAAGGTCAATTGCATCTCTATGATTGGAGGTATTATTATTGAGTTGTTTTACCCAGTTAAAACATATTTAAAAAATATTTTAAAAACTCATATATGTCCTCACTCTAATAACAAAGTGACCTGAAAGTATGCAGCCTGTGTAACCTCTACCACTCACTCGGATTTCCTGTATTTAAGGATTTATTAAGACAGGAAGCAGAGCTCGAAGCTTATCTCCAAAACTTCTGAAAGACTAATCAAAATGGGCCTTCCGCTTTTCTTTACTAATGTGCCTGCTGACAGGAGAATTCTGGAAACAGACGTGCATTAATGACTGAGCCATGAAAGTAAAGCAGGAGCTGTGGATTAAGTTGCATGGATTGGAGGAAATGAAGCTGCAAATTCAATGCTTCAAAGACTTGAAACATTTCTTAGATATTTGCAGCAAGTTCAAACGACTTGGATATTTTACTTTTAATGCTTTAGTGGTGACACGTCAGTTTTTGAAAAATAAATATTGTCTATGCTAGTATAACTAATTGTATCTATAGCCAAATTTCCCTATTGGCCAATTTCCATTTACTGTACATGCAGGTGACAAAGTGTCCCTCTGGACGTAAGGTTATTTTTCAAATAATAGTTTTACAACACTCTTTTCCTGCTTTTTCTTGATACTGTGCCTTGTAACGGAGAAAGTGTTAATATATATATATATACTTGGACCATTCTATGCAGAGTTAGCATGTTTCTGTCTGGGTAATCTTCCTCTCACCATCCAAACACATGCCTGCTATGTTAAATGCTAAGAGAGAATGTGTGTGGTTGGTTGTCTCTGTGTGGCCCTGTGATAGACTGAGAGGGTACCCCACCTGATGCCTGTTGTCAGCTGGGATAGGCTCCAGCTGATGCTAAAAAACAACAGCAAATACAGAGGAGTTGTTCTTTTTTTTCAATTTGACACTGATTATTTTTGGAAAAAGCGGGGATTGGCTGCAGAATTGCACGGAATGAGCAGGTAGGTCAATCGGATGGATGGATTTCTTTGAGAACCATGTTTGGAAAAGGCCTGTCTATTTGTGTAACTTATGATTTTTGCATCCTTCTCAATGGAAAGTTACTTCCTGACATTTGGAAAACAAATGTTGTTATCTCTCTAACTCAGGTTTACATACAACCAGTGAAACCATGGTTCACAATATAGTCCCCAGATGGGCCAACATTAAGTGCTCCAGTGTTTTTTTTGTGTCATTCCTCAGTTTTCAGAGGAAATGTCAGTGTCAGTGTTGGGAGTTCTGTGGGACTGTTAAAGGACTTGTCTACAACTGCATTTGGGCATGCTCAACAACCAAACATCTGTCTTTCTCATTAGCTCTGTCTCAAAGTCCCTCTTTCTCTCCACACACACACATGCACACACACACATGCACATGTGCACGTTTACCGTGCATGGCACACAGCTGTTTCCTCTCACACTGTTCAGGTCTGAATATGTGTACCGAATCCTGGCTGTAAAGCTTTTTACTGTGATTTATGATTGTAATTTTAGATCAGTTGACTGCAACTAATTAACCACAAAAGGAAAAGCAAACTATTGTACAGTACTATCAAATTGTATACACATTTAATGTACTGTTGATGAGACTGTTGGTATGAATGTGGAAATTGAAAAAAAAAAAGATTTTGATTATTTATTGTTCTTCTAGGTTTTGTTTTGAACTACTGCTATACTAAAACCAACTTTGCCACCAACATTCCTGGATTCCATTCCAGCCAATTAAAAGCCAGTCTGTTTACTATTCTGCGTCAAACAAATTTTCATACATTTACTTTCTCCGAGACAGAGAGCGCATTTTGACGAATCAATACCCGTTGTTTTCCCAAAACCAAATAAGGGTTTTACAGAAATTCATGTGTCCCAAAGTACCTCACGATTGCAGGCAGCCAGTCTTCAGATATACACTATTAAATGTGACATAAGTTTGCCAACACAATATTAAAATGATTTATTTATTTTAGTATTTTGATATGGGAATATAAAAGTTTAATTTGACTAAGAAATGTTAAAATAAGGCCCTTTTTTATTGCACAAAAAAAAATACAAAAAAAGCTGGGTTTTAGGACATAGCTTTCCAGGTAACTACCAGTTTCCCAACAAATATGTAGTTTTTCTAGGAAAAAAAAAAGATAGGACAGGATAGGATGGGATAGACTTTTTACCGGGATTAATTTCTGTGCTAAATGTACAAGTTTGCAAGTATCTATTGGGGCTGGTGCACTAATGTAGTACCTACTTAACATGGCTCAACTAAACCCTACTTGTTTTCTGGTTGTTTTCTTTTGTGTTTTCATTAGGAGCTGGCACCTCCTAACAATTACAATATTTAGAAGTGGGGTTCCAATTTTGCAGATTACTTGGCGCAAGGAATGACGCGATGAGTCATAACAACAACTCCTCCACTTGAACCCCGCCCATTCTACAGCACAGCAACAACAAATGTCTGTTTTCATTGTTTCTATAATTGTGAACATTGTAAAAACCTACTGCACGTACCAACGCTGTGGCCTAAAACCAATGTTCAGCTCGTGTATTGTTTCCGCAACGTCCTCCATTGTTGCCTCGCGTTTGTGGGCTGAATATGATTCCTTAGACAGGACTCTGTCAAAACTCTTTATTCGATAGAGAAAATCCTTTCTTATGTGGTCACATCAGCAAGGAATTCATTCGATAAACTGATTTGAAAAAGAAAGTAGTGTGAAATTACATGGAGAGCTTCTCTATAAAGTAAAACATTACTGTTAATTACTGGAAAAACACTTCCACCTTATCCAGAGTTGATGTCAATATCTCAGAACTCTAAAGTTTCTGTCGTGGACAATCACTGTCCAGACATGTTTGCTTTTCAGACCAATCAGGGTTTCAGGTATTTTATTTTCCACTTTAGACCAAAGACCAAAAATGGACATTACAGACTATTAATCAGCAAGTCCATCAGTGTCTTTTACAATGTTTCTTTTTCTTTATTTCTTTTTTTTTAACTGAGATTCTAAAAAAAAAAGGGTATGCCTCATATAAACATTTCCCAATGATCTCTTTCTGTGAACAGGAGTGCCTACCCTCTCCACTTTTGTTTGTCCCAGTTCTCCCAATTGTTTACAGTACATTGACCAGTTTCAGTCATCAATAAATCACTTTACACCATTGCACCTTTTCTTCGGTGAGGGATTTTAGGGCAAAATATCTCCCCATCAGGAGAGCACTTGTTCCAGGGATGAATTGTACACTACACAAAGGCATGTCTGAGGATGAGGATGATGAAGGTGCTGGACTGGACATGTCCCAAATAGAGGAAGTTAAGGTTGGAAGGTGGTGAATTTTGAAAATGAAAATGTGGTGACAGCCACGTTATGCTCTACAACTAAAGGCTTGTTTGCTTGAAAAAAAAATCTGGTAACATGAGATCTTAAACATTCTACTTGGGTGAACTAGGAGGAATGACAACAATCTAAAGAGATAACAACTTTACTGACTCAGCTGTTTTTAAAATCGAATTGGATGTAGATTAACAAATCAAAGTAAGCTGTGATCATCAAAAATATTCAATTTTTGGGGTCTATAGTCTCTGTAATGAAGAAGTTTAGGAGTATAAGTACATGCACCATATAGAACAAATTTCAAATACAGAAAAATTACACAATTCTTATAGATAATAGATAAATAGAGCATTGCCAGCATTGAATGCTTCCATCAGGAGTTGTTAGATATTGTCCAGAGATTTCTCTCTGAATGATTCTCACTGATGACCACCTACAAGTGGGACCACCCTCATTGACAATCACCAATTGTTTGCTTTTTGCTTCAAAGCTTTTATCTGCAAACTCTGCTGATGAGAGTTTCACTAAAGAAAATGCTGATTAGACAAGTCACAAATCAAAAGTATCCTAGAAAGCTATTCCTCAGCTCTAGTTTCTCCTTGGAAAACAATAGTTCTAAACTATTCTTGCTTTTAAACGACCCAGTAAAAGAGCGATGGGATTCTCAGCTGGCTGTGAGTGTTGTTTGTCCCAGAAACAGCAGTAAAACTAGACTTTTATGATCTTGCTGAGAAGCCATTAACTAAGACCAAAGAAAGAAAAAACAGAAGAAGAAACCCTTCAAACTAGCACAGCAAATCTTCCTTATCTCCTCTTGGGATCAGTCATTCAGTCGGTCAGTTACATTTTGAGATAGAGATACACGGGAAGAGTCACTGGAAAAGTCTGAGATCCAGGGGAACATGGGTGTAGTTCTCCAGCAGCCTCTGACGCCTGTGAGGGGATGGTTATGGGAGAGGGCTGACAAAAGGGGGAGGAAAATTAGGCTCGCCAGCATTCTTCTCATTTAAAGCTGTAACTACACCAAAAAAAAAAGGCACTCACGCAGTCTGGGCTGGGTCTTCTCGCCGCTTACAGGGAGAGCCTCTCTTGTGTTCATGGTGCTACAGTGATAACCTGAGCCCTCTTCTTTTTTTTTTCTCCTTTTCATCCCCTTTTTCCCCCTTTTTTTCGCTTTGCACACGAGGAAAGGCTCATGTCTGTCTTATAGACAAGATGAGCTCCGTGCGTTTGAGGACTTTCCTTTTTCTGGTGTTCTCCTCTGCTCGGGTTTTGATTGTTACATGTCAAGACGGGACCGGGGGTAAGTGAAGCACTCAGCTGTTTGTTTGACACCTAATTGCTGTGGGATTGTGTAGAGGGGGGGGGGGACTGACCCCTCAAACATTAGCTCGGACATTTGCTTGAACTTTGGTTTGGTTCAATTTTCTTCTGACTTTACAAGAACGTCATGTAAGGAGAATCTATTTGAATAACAGACGATTTCATGCGTCTTTTCTTAAGTAAATCCCACATGGGAAACTTCTGAACTTTAGATGGGATTATTTACTTGATCAAACCTTAACATCTGTGTGAAAGATGATTAAGACAGCCCTTAGATGGTCATGAGGGAGTCTGGTCAGTTAAGACATGGTTTAGAAAAGACGGTGAAAGCTCTAGTGTGAATTATTCGTCCTTTTTGAAAACATACCAGGACATCAGGGAAGCCTTTCAAACATCTGTCAGAGATTTGAAAATGATGTCACCCAGAGGCAACAGAAAATGTCCATAGGAGGGAAACGAGCACCTTTGCGGTTTTCGAAAAGCTCCTGCGGAACATTCGTTAAGAGCCGCCGCGACCACTTATTCCCCCGTTGGAATACGTTTCACATCTGCGAAAAGAATTTGGGCAGCTCGGCTCATGCGCCTCGGAGGGAACACGGGCGGCTTGTTAATTCAGGACAGATGTGAGGAGACGTGAGAAGCAGAGATGCTGTCGGATTCTCTGAGTCACCGGGAAACGTTGGGCTGAGGATGTCCTGGACTGGAAACACGGGGAGCTGGAACACCTGAGCACTCTTGTTTTACTTGGTCTGTGTTTTCCAACCCCTTCCCCCCCCCCCCCCCCGACCAGGAGTATGTTTGATCTCCGGTGTCGTCACGGGGACTAGGTTGTTTCAGGGGATGATGTCATTGGCCTTAGCGAGCTCTGAGAGGTTCTTATGGTGGACTGAAAGGTTGATTTTAAAATGTCAGATTCATGTGAAGTTCATATTTTTGGTGCTTATTTTCCTCTGTGTTTTTCTTTCGTTCTGTTTTGAACTTTGAAAAGTTGGCTTTTCTCTTTGAGATTTTGTTTCCGAAGAGCTGGAGACTGTGTAGTAGTGATGGGATGGAGCACCTCCTTGTGGTCATTGAAACCCGTCTCATCCAACTGAGTTTACTAAATATGCTGTATAGCATTGACGCGTTTAATCTGTAAATTATAAGGAAAGCAACATTTAGATACTGTTTTTTTGTTTTTTTTCGTAAAAGTATATGAACAGAGTTTATACAATGCCAACAAGATTAAGGAAAATATTTGGTCCACGCATTTTTTTTTCACTTTGACACAGCCTGTACCATCTTAAAAGAGCTATTTTACAACTTTATTGAGGAATAACGAGTATTTCTTCTTTGGATGTTGGTTGTCTTTGGTTCTCACCACAATGCTTCGTTCATGTTGATGATTCATCTCTTCGCAAAGCCTATTGCCAATGGTTTATTCTTGTGGTTTTTGGCACAACTCAGCCTTTTCTCCCAGTTTTCCGTCCTAAAAGATGGTTTTCTTCACAACCACCCTTCCGTGGAGAAGGGTGGCTGCTGATGAGGCTTCGGGGAATTGTGGAATCAACTGAAAGACCAGATGCACCTCTCATGTCCTGTGTCATTTTTCTGTCTTTTAGGCCGAATACTTTTAGATTTACAAGAGCACACCGTGTTGGGATATGCCACGTTTTCAGCTAGTATGACTTTGGAATTAATCTCGATGTCACTTCACTTTGGTTTTTTATGTTTTACCATTCGTAGGTTAATGCTGATGCTACAGTTTATCTAAGTTATACAGAACAATTGTTAAAATCAAACAAAAAACTAAAGATACTTGAACCATGCTAAATTCCAGAAGATTACACTATTTGTGTAGTTATTTTGCGTATGTCCTAAAAGCTTTTTTTTTTCTTTTCTATGAATTCTCTGTTCATAATTGCTTGTGTGAAGCTGCACAGGCTTCTTTCCATGGAATAGCGGTGGATGAGGTGATTGCATTTCGACCAAATAAAAGCAGCGGAAAGTTCAGGGTTTTGTGGGCTAAGGGAAAATGTGGTTCACCAACACTCTGGGACAGTATAGTTGTGTGTCTGTGAGGTAGATATTATGACTCAATGACCAGTTACAATTGCATGGAACATTTCTTTGCTCATTTCAACCATTTGTATGGCTGATTTGAATGCAGTTTTTTTATTATTGTATTTTTATTTTTTTAAAACCACACTCAAAGATACAAAGATCCTTTTTTGCCTTTTGCTAGTATCGGGGTTCTCTGATTTATTTGACATATTTTTGACAAAATAGCTCATTCAAATTGTGAATGAGGGACTGTTGATAAAGTTCCAACACTTGCAACAGAACCAAGATCTTTCATATACAGAAAGTCTCTGTTGAGGGGAATGACATTAAAGCAAACAGTTCCAGGAATTAGATTATCACCAAACTTAAAGAGAAGTGCTGCCAAAACAGAGAAAATGTTCAAAGCAAATGTTGAACATTTCATCCAGTGCAGTTATAGAGCAGATAAGACTCATATGCCTGCACATGTGTGGAAAATTTGCATGTAGGAGAATACAAAGGAGAAAAAACAAAAGATCAAGAAGCAGACTTTAAGCTCACAATTGGAAGTCGTGCCGCCAGTGTAGATTAACAGGATAAAAATAAAAAACAACGCAAAGCCTGCCATGGACGTAATAGAAAATGTTCACATAGCGGTTCAAAGAAAGTGGAATATGAAGGAGAAGAAAACAGTAATAAAGTTTCCATTTTGACCCCAATAATAAAAAACAGCTGTGTGCGACCACAGTGTTAGACAGACAGAAATCACGTCTATGCAACTGTGTGTGTGTGTGTTGGTTGTGTGAGTGTGTGTGTGTCTGTGACATAGCTGTAAAACATCTTCAAAGATGCCACTTTGCGCCTCACATCAAAGAGCCTCAGCACCATGTCTTTTAGTAGTATCATCACTGCCAAAACGCAAATTGCCTCCAATTTCTTATTGATTTGTTTTCATTTTTACCTCTCGAAAAGGAAACACTCGAGCAGAAAGGAGCAAAACTCCATATTCGAAATCAACAAATACATGTGAGGTCACCCTTTCTTCTCAAAATTGCTTCCAGTTGTTGTTGCCACATCACTGACATGGCAACAAATGGGCTGTTTTCTACCAAAGCTCGAAAACGTCCAAACATGTGAACTCAACCAGGTCCACAGACTGCTGTGATTAGAAACACATGCCGCATTTTTGAGCTATGACTTGATTACACGCCTCTTTTCTCTCGGAGTTAAGGGGGGGGTCGGGCTCACCAGACGGCATTATCTCCGCCGATACGTTCGAGAAGTTGTTATCTGCGTGTTTTTAAGTGTGTGAACCGGGGATTGGGTTTATGGAGTTTTAATGCAGGCCGTGCCTGTGAGGAGCTCTCCATGGGAATGACTTATAAACCAAACCGTTGCAGTCAGCAAATGGAGAATAGGGGTGGAGGGGATGACTTCCAGATGTTGAAAAAAAAAGTCTCTTCTGGCAGTTTTTAGGAAATATATTTGGAAAAAAAAATAAAAAAAAGCAGCGGTCAAGATTGCTGGAAGCAGGGGGGGGGGGAGTTTAACTGCACAATATATTACAGCTGCAGGATGAGTTGAGCAAGGATAGATGTGCGACTCCCAGGCTGGTTCAGGTAAACAGTATCCCCCGTTTTTCACAGGTTAAAGCTAAAGTAACTGTCTGTTCAAAGGCTATGCAATTAGCTCTCCCCTTGACATGTTTCCCGGTGCTTGATTGGCACGTAGTCACCCATCTGTCCTGTGATCCTCTCCGTCTGTCCGTGTGGGAGGATGACAGGACGGAGCTTAAACACAGAACAGGCCGGCGTTTCCCCAAGTGTAGTCATTGTCTTAATTCCATTCCAATTAAGATGTGCCAACGCTGCTAGTCTGGAAGCCTGGCCACAGAATTTGCATGACGTGCCAGTACTGGAGGAGAGGAAGAACAACTACATGTACGGGGGGAGGAGGGGTGCAAACACACACACACACACACACAGTACAAAAAGAAGCAGTTTACACTTATTTATGAAGCAACGACTGCTCCAGAAGTGAGTCACAAACAATTAAAAACACTTTTTTTCTGTGAATTGTGATGCTGGCCACGTGAACTAAGACGGTTTGGTAAAAACTTGTCATTTAAAGCTTAAAAAAGGGAAGAAATAATCTGCTTTCAAACTCATGTTTATCTGCTGCATTTGAAATTAATGGGATTGTAAGAAATAACTGAGCGACTCTTTAAATGCCAGTGCTTAAAAACAGATTATAGAGGTAACCGAGGATCCTCTACTCTATTCGACCAGCTTATCACGGCCCAAACTTACATTATTTGGAATACCAGTTAAGAGCCTTTTTGAGCAAAAGTTATTTTACTGGAGCTCAGGCTAAAAGCTTGGCCACGCTAAGATTTAAAATGAAAATATTTCTAAATTCCACGTACTGTAGTGTTGTCCTATCTTTTTTTTTTTATCTTTATCTCATATTTTCCAGAGCTTTATTGGAGCACAACAGCAAACAGAAGCAATCTCCATGTTAAAATCAAAGTCGGTTCAGTTCTGGGCAAACATTATGTCTCTCAACAATTAAAATCAGTACTGAAATTCCAGGAAAACAAACTTATGAGTTGCTAGATGGTGTGCTGTGCAGTTTTGCATGCTCAGCTAATGTTGATACAGCTGCATGTGGTTCTTCCAGCAGATTGGGAAGGCTTTCACCCTTTGGGAGTTTATCCTGGGTAGGTTGGCAGGTTTCGCTGTAATCCAGCACTCCCTGAGAACATGTTCTGTGTCTTTTTCCTGGGGAACGTTTCAAAGACTGCCGTAATTGATTTAAATCACCCAATTTCAAGAGATGCGATATTAATCCAAGGAACATTCATTTTTCTGTCACAAGCTGTTCAGGGCCGGGTCGTAATTTGGTAAAAATCATTTTGGATTTGTTGACTGAATTGCCATTGTCATTCGACAAGTGAGG